AGAATAGACTACCATACGGTTTAGGGGTGGGGGGGGGGGGGGGTGGTTTATAAACGGGGGCTCACTGTATATATATTTTTTGTAGGAACTGTTATTCAATTACTTTATAGCAAAAAAAAAATCCTTATTTTCTGGTAAAGCAAGCATGAATGTATCTACCGTCTAAGTTTTGAGGCCATAACCACGTCCTTGAAGTTTATGATCAGGCAATGATCGGCGAAAACCCCTCCCAAGTCGAGACATGTGCCGGACATAGAAATTCATGTGATCGAAATTAAAATACCCGACTTTCAAACCCAAGGGTTTAGAGAAAAGTTAATCCGTAAGAATGGTAGAGCAGACGAAGTAGAATAAAAGTTACGGTTTAGAATTTTTAATTGACTAAAAAAGTTCGAGTTTTAGGCATTTGAAAAGCAACAGTTTTCTTAAGTTTTTCTTAAGTTTCTTAAGAAAAAAAAAAAAAAATTTCGGACATCGCAAATAGTCGTGTAACATTCCATTATCCAATAAAGTAAAAGTTTAGCATTATTGTTCTCGCAACATTCTTTATTGTTTTAATATACCTCGACCAAATCAAAGAAAACCGAAAAATGTGGCGATATATGGATTTGTATAGACATGGATTTACAGGTAAATTAGCAGAATATGCTGCTAACAAATATGAACCGCACAGAAGAATCCCCGAAAATGCATGGGAGGAATTAAGAACAAATCTCAAGCTTTTCGTTTACATTGTTAAGTTGATTATACGTTTTATAGTAGAGCGAGGGATCAAGGATAAGTTCGATCAGCAACCCGCAGAAAAATTGAATAACGAATGTAAGCATTTTGAGTTGCTTGTTGTTTGCAAATTTTTATAGAATAGATTGATATTGATGCTGGAATGACTTATAATTTGGTTTTTAAGTAAATATATAAGTGCAAGTCGTGTTATTTTTATCAGATTGTTAAAAGTTACAGTTGATTCGTCGATCAAACAGTCTGATATTTGATGCAAATGAATAATGTTTGGATTGGTTTGCTGGTAAGAATAGAATTTGTTGACAAAGAACCTTAGGTTTGACATTTTTGATAAATATTATTTACAAAAGCCTCGGTATACGAATATTATTTGACTTTAATCTAAACTTTGTTACAAAGAGAGTCTCTCGTTTTACTGAATTTCTCGTTATAACGAATTACAATGCCTCCCCGGCAGCTTTGATATAACGGGTCTCCACAAATATTTTGTTGCCAAACTGAACAGATTAAAAAGTCTTGATACAGATAAATCTTGACAAGCAAGAAATAAATTATCTATTAAGCTTCTAATATTTGAATAAATGTATTAAAATATCTCTGACAATATGTTAAAATTTGCTATTTTTTTAAAAAAAAAACTTTGATGTAAATTTGATTGTCAATGGTGATAAAATAGCGATATGAGGTAATTTGGGGAAGCGTATAAAAGTGCCTGTTGCGATCTATTTTAATCAATTATCCATGGAACATGTTACAGTATGGTTTGGAAAGAGTTGAGAATATGTAAGTTTTTAAAATCTGGTTCAATCTAGTGATACGCTTGTACGGGGAAGCTGTTCAAACGATTCAAGAGCCATCCAAATGAGCTAGCTAAAGAACCATGCTCAAACATTTTTTTTCAAAAACTTTTTGTGTGTTAAACAATATAATTGTTTTCAAACCGATTTAATTTAATAAGTTCCAAGAACACTTGTGTAGATATTAGTTAAATTAACAACCATAGAAAAAAAACTTACGTGACAATGTTACAATTGTATAATTGAAAAAATAATTGAATCAAATTTGTCTTATTAGCATGTAAAAAATTTTTTATACTTTATATACAGTATCTAGTGCTGACAGAAGAAGCAATAAAGCAGTGCAGAAGGTCTGGCATTATGTTCATAAAACTTAATAATAAATTCTTGAAATTCGTTATAAAAATAGACGCGCTTCCACACGGTGGGAGAGAAAAAAGTTTATGAACAATTTAGCGTAATGAAAATAAAATTGTAATTGTATACTTATCCCGCCGTCTTCTCTGTGACCTGCATAATCTTGAATATCTAGTTGTAATAATACCATTCGAATTTTTTACAATGTATAAATTAAAATTATAATATTTACCTGAAAATAACGTTATAATAACCCGGAGATAGCAGACAGGTGACAGAATAATGCGGCAAAAGCAGAATGCGCGGAAAAGACGGCTGATAAATACCCGATTATTAATCTTTAAATATATTCATAAATAATCTACAATTATGTATGAGAGCACAAATGACAAAACATCTAGACAGCTGTCATAGTATTACGTTAACACGCGTAAAGTAGTCAATTGCATAATACAATTGATTGCCATCAGAATGTAATTGTGGCAGGATTGGTTTTTCTCGAGTAGTCCTCAAGGAAGTAAATTTTACGTCAATATTAATATTTGCTTATTACTAGTATGTTTTTTGATTATAATGAAATTTAATTGATAGGATTATAGAAATTACGAGTTGATTTATTTAATTTCAGAATTATGAGCATGCAGATAACGTGTTGGATCATCGCTGGGGTTTTCAGCAAGATAATGACCCAAAACACACTTCCCACGATGTTCAAAGTGGCTTGAAAATTCGGCTTCCGCGGCGCGTTCTCTCCTGGCCTTTCTACAGCCTAGATCTTAATCCGATCGAGAACGTCTAGGCTGTTTTGAAAAAAAGTGTAACGTATCAAGAAAATGGTGGCACAAAAAAAGAAAATTGCTCAAAACATTTTTATAGACATAATTACGGACGAATGGGATAGTCTCGAAAAAGACATCATAGTTAACAGTACTAGCATGAAAAATCGGATTCAAGCATGTATTGAAGCCGAAGGAGGCCATACCAAATATTGAATAATTAATAAAATTTATAGCCATGGTGTTTGGCTTTTATTAGAATTTTTTTGTTCATTTTTATCTTTCAATTTGAGTTCGTTACATCAAAAAACTGACCGCCATTACTTTTGCCGGGGACTGTACTAATAACTTCAAATTATACGCTCATTGTTGACATACAGGATGTTGTCACTACCCCAACTCTTATACTTGGCACTTATCTGTACATTGGTAAAGTTGCAGTCATGCAAGATATGGATCATGTAGATGTCCTTATTCAACATGTCAGAAGATGGCCAGAAAGGGCTTACGAGGTAGTTGTCTTCACAAGTAAAGTGGACGACCCAGGCCTCTTGTGCAGCCAGACGGTTTTTGTAGATGGGAGTCTTGTCAATATGGTTTTTGATAGATTGCAAGTCTCCTGTGGCCAAAAGCTCGAGAATGACTGGGTTTTGCAGGTTTCTTGATGACAATATCAGGGTATCTGTGGGAAGTGCCATCACGAATATGCCATTGACCATTGATAGTGTAGGCATCTTGATGGCCAAGCCAGTTTGTCAGGATCCTCATCAGCTCAGTATCATATACACTTTCACACAGAACTGTTACATCACGATGACCACCCACAATAACCTTTGCTGTTTTTGTATGAGTGAGTAGATGCAAATTTTACCAGATCCTTGTCAAAAAATTTGAGTGCTTCCTTCAAGACCTGCAGAATGTCCATGGGCCCACCATCATATTTCTCAGGGGGTGCCATATTGGGAGCAGTGGGATACATCCTTGGAATGATGAATTGTTGAATCAATGAGTCCACAAGAGGTGATGTCATTTTGAATGCTGCTACTTCTTCTTTATCAGGATATAGTACACCTAGGGCAGCCAGATATGCAGCTTCATGCTGGTGGGTATAGGTAGGAGAGACATTCACAAATTCATCAAAGTTCCCCAGGAAGAAGGACCGGAGGTAATTCAATGCATTAATTTGCTTTTCTGATTCCTTTGTGAGAGAGTTGACCAACTTCTGGAATGTGCCATATGCTAGTACATTCGACAGTAGTGATGTGAAGACAAAATCTTGCCATTGATCAAAATTAAGTGCCTGATTCTCAAGTGGCAAAAGAGAACGTTGGATTGCAGCACCACAGACATTAACTAGGCCGGCATGTCTATCAATGGAATCATAATTAGAACATCAGCAAATTTAAATTCATAGGACAATCCGCACTCACATACCCATTGGTTAGTTGAAAAATATCATCAACAATCTCAGAATCGATAGTTATACCATAGTCATTCTCAAATTCTTGGAAGAGCTTTTGAACTTGACTTTTGTTAAGGCTTACGTTTTGAAGTTTTCAGCAGCATTAAAGGGTGATGGGTTGTCATCCTCTTGGTTCAGCATGATAATAAAAAAGGTGCCAATGGAGATAATAGAATGGATAATGTATTTCGCTTCAGGTGTTCCTCTTTTTGGTTCATTCCTGATCACCCGGATTGTGGACAGCGAGCACTTACTGCAGTATCATCATGAAGCATGTCAAATTCATCAAAGAAAAGAACTACAGGTTTGCTCCACCTCTCATGTGAACTATAAAATGCCTCACAAAAAGTCTTAGAGTCACGGATGACCACTGGTAGACGAGCATCAGCCCTTATGAAGCCTTCATTAAGATATGACCAGAAAGCTTCCTTGTTAGAGACATCAAAATCCTGGAAATCAACACTAATCAGACATTGATAGTCAGGTAGATAGTAGAGGGTTGTTCTTGATTTACAATTCAAATGTGCTTATTAAATGCATTCATAGCCTTCTGATTCAAGCTTGGTCATTGCACCAAGCACACGGGAAGATTTCCCAGAAGCTCTGGGACCATACATCCGTATGAAGCGACCTACAGCAATAGCATTGATCAAGGGAGTGTTTGACTAGCATAATAGACGTATTCGCGGAGTCTATAATATACAGTGCTACTTGCTTTGAATTCTTTTCGGTATCTTTTGGAAACGTGTGAACCTAGGAAGCAGAAACATGTGTCAGATTAACGGAATGAATTATGAAAGGATTGCTGCTGCAATCATACCTTGTTCTTTTGGTGTTCTTTTCAAAGATTGAGTGATTACAGTAATGTGTGCCCCGGTGATAACAAAGCGATAAATCGCGAACGCCAGTGATAAAATAAATACTCAGAGAACTTTCGTAAAAAGCACACATTTATTAGGATGTCATCATATTACTACGCCTACTCTCTTCTACTATGAAACCCATATTATACTTATGTACACATTACTCTATCCCCAACGCCCTACCAGTCAGATGGATCTTGTTATAGACTGCACCGGCAATAAGTCTGTCACCAATAATTGATTTAAACCCATCAATGTCTGTATTGAGCAATATGTCCCAGTCATAGAAAGCAAGCTTTTTTTTTTGCTTCAGCTGAAACTTTGCCAGAGAGCCAGTGGAAAAATTGTTCGCGAGTTGATACCATATCATACGTTGTAAGTCGGAGTGCAGTCACTGTCTAATTACTAGGAAACGCGAAAATTCAACCAATCAGGAACTTGTATCCGCCAATTTTAATATGAGAATAACTGGGGTGGTACGATATTCGATCATTGCCCAATCATTTTGCAATAGTAAAAGACGTATAAACTTCAAAACCTTAACCAAAAGGCTAACTTCCGATTTCTGGGTGGTCGCCAAGTTGGCTGTTGCGTTCTACCATTCAAGACTTCATTACATGCTAGAGTTTCGTCAATCAAATTTTGCCCAAGTTTTATATACTTGTCGAAAAGACTATCATTCTCAATATTTTGTTCAACAATCGAATTTAAACAATTCGAAAATTCTTTTGTCAGTTGCCAACACGTTTTTTCTACTTTCTATGGTATCAAATCTAACACAAATACTCGATCTTCTTGATCACATGTATGTTATGCATTCTGGATGCGTCTGTTTGATGTAACTTTTATGTATGTTAAATTACACGTCTAGATGTACAATTTGTATATTAGAATAGCATGGTAACATGGTCAAAAAAGAGGGTATCAAATCTTGTAGACAAATTTGCCTGCAAATGGCCACCAGTTAAGGGAAAGTTATAATAATATGCTTTATAGTCATGAACTCTTGCAGGAAATCAATTTGTTTCAAAATTGGTGTATGCAATGTAAAGCACTATTTAAACGTACTATTTACACTAGATTGAAGCATTCGAAGTTGGCAGTCAAGCATTGAAGATGTATCCGTTCTGAGCGATTTTTTTTTCGTGAAACTGTCGCGCTTTCAAATACTAAAAACGTTATTAATAAAATATTCAAAAAATTACGCCTAACTTAACTGGAACTATTAAAATCGTTTTGCGCTATGGAATTCTGTCAAGAAAGCATGCGTTAAATAGGTCCCCTCACGTGTTTTCAATGTTGCGCCACACAAGTAAAGTTGTCACTAAGCACTCTCGGGAAGAACGAGTAATATTGCTTCCCCACCACTACAGTTCTGATCTGGCTGCGCGCAATTTTTCTCTATTTTCAAAATTAAAAAAAAATGCGGAAAGCAGTTTGAGAGAATTCAAGTCTGCAAAATTATTAACTGATGATATAGAAAAAATTTTCCGAGTGCTTTTAAAGTTGATGTAGAGGGCTGAGACTATTTACAGTCAAAGCCGACTACAACAAATTCTACGGGACCAGAGAAATATTCTTTATAACCAGAAATTCTTTATAACGAAGGTCACTTTTTATAGGTAAGATTATAATTGGCTTGGAGAAAATCTTCGTTATAAACAGACCTTCGTTATAACCAAAGTTTGTTATAGCCAGCTTTGACTGTATAGGGTAAAAGGAGAGTATTTTGAAGGAATAAAACAGTAAATTAAAATTTATTATGTAGATAAAAATTTTATAAACATTGTGTCAAAACTTTTTGAACACCCACATGTCTTATTAATACGACCACTTTGTTGAATTGCTGTTTGTAAAAGCAGATGTGTTTGAATCCTCTTCTTTCCTGTGTTTCTTTATTAAATTCGATAACGAAAACCTAAACTATTCGTGACACATTACGATAATGCAATCACACAATGCATATCACATCACACAATGCATATCAATACAACGTTACATTTGACGGCCTGATAAACTAAATTAGTTTAGTATTAAAAAGTAAAAATAGGTTATACTTAATTTGTTTATACATTGTCCCTATCACTAAATATACATCAATTGACGTGAAAAAATTATAACGTTAGTGACACTATTCCCGACACTTCTATTGCGGTACAGCATATTCTGTCATTTATCAAATAATCGTCAATTATAACCACACTAATGAACTAGTTTAAATGACAGAATTATAAAATATCCGAAAAACCATTCTTTCAATAAAACTGCTCACGATAAATGTCCAAGTCAACGTTAAAGTTGTGGCTACTTTATTATTTTCTTTCATCAACCTTCCCAAGCCGGCATGCAACTGTAAGAATGTTAGTTCCGAGACATTTTTGCATCCCTACGAAACATTCCCTTAAACAGAGATGCACCCTGATGTGACACACGCAGAGAATAAAGGATTGTGCAATCTGGTTAAAGTTTACTGTAATAGTAATTATAACGACTTCCCTCAAAAAAAAAGCAAGAACAGGCTACGCTTCTTATATCGTTACGCTGTATGTACAAGTATCTGTCATCACCCCGGGGAGAACTTTTACAGGAGAACAAATTCTGCATTCAGATTTCGAGATTCTTGTAGGTTAAGGGGTATCAAACTCTGTGTTGCATGTAACAGTGAACCAGTTAAGGTTTATACTTGAATACTTGAAATGACGATTTATCGTGCAACAACTAAATGACACTGGTCCTACAAGTAATAACAATATTAACATCTGTGTAGCAAAGCACATAACGCGTACTTTTGCATTGTTAAAGAATCAACTTCTGGCAAATATATTTATACAATTTTGAAATAAAGTCTTAATTCAATACGTGAGATGTTTTATTATATTCACATTATTTAAATACAAATAATAAGAGAACAAGCAATTAAGAATTTTCAACGTCTACCATAAGCTGTTTAGTTCTCTTACTCTACTAAACGAATAAACATACACAACAGTATTTCCCGAATTATCGACCATAACGACAAACGCATCCCCTCTCCTCTCACCCAGCTAACATCAGTTTACGCACTAGAAAAATTGTACATAAAATAAACTAATCGCCATCACTTTGTGACACTCTTCAATTTGGCAATAGGTACATCATCATCACTTGCCACCTCAACAGAATTTAGATCATCTACTCTCAGCTGTTGTGTTCTTTTTCTAGAAGACACTTTGTTACTTTGGTCCACTTCTCGAGAGGCGCTATCCAGATGTCCCTTCCTATCTTTGTCTCGAGCACTCTCCCTAAATTCATCCTTGCCACTTCTTGATATACTGGTTCTTGGTCCAATCGATGATTTGGACGCTTCCCCTCTTTCCCTAACATGTTTCTTTCCACTTTCTCTTCGATCGTCATTAGCATCATTCTCCTTCAAAGGTGACAACAATTTCACTGGCGACGTTTGTCCAGATATCATGGCCAATGGTAATTGATCAGATAATGAATCATCCGAATCTGCTTCGTCTTCACTATGAGGATTGCTTCCCCGGGCATTATGCAGAGGACTATGCGGAGGACTGTGCGGACGGTCTCGTGTTTCTCGATGACTTGATGTACGAGAAGTAGGTGAACGCATAGACTTGGAATGGGTAAGTTGTGCAGTACGACTGCTAGACGATGCGTGAGTCGTTTTGGATCGGCGAACGTCTACGGCCTCATTTGTAGGTTCATCACTGTCGCGATGTGAATGATGCGTTTGAGAACGGACATTGGTGTGTGTATGCTCGTCTTCCTTCAACGACGACGGAGACTTTAATGTCGGTCTTCTATTCACTCTACTCTCGTCAGTATCAATTTTTAACGTTGAATGTTTCCTACTCGCTTTACTCTCGTCAGTATCAGTTTTTAATGTTGAATGTTTCCTACTCACTCTACCCTCGTCAGTATCAGTTTTTAACGTTGAATGCTTCCTACTCACTCTACTCTCGTCAGTATCAGTTTTTAACGTTGAATGTTTCCTACTCACTCTACTCTCGTCAGTATCAGTTTTTAACGTTGAATGTTTCCTACTCACTCTACTCTCGTCGGTATCAGTTTTTAACGTTGAATGTTTCCTACTCACTCTACTCTCGTCAGTATCAGTTTTTAACGTTGAATGTTTTCTACTAGCCTTACTTTCGTCAGTTTCAGTTTTTAATGTTGATGGTCTTCTACTCGTTCTATGGTCGTCAGTTTCAGTTTTTTGCTTTGGTGGTCTTTTACTTGTTCTATAGTCGTCAGTTTCGCGTTTTGACGTTGATGCTTCTCTATTCACCCTACTCTCATCGGCTTCGCGTTTTGACGTCGATGCTTCTTTGTTCACTCTGCTATCACCAGTTTCGCGTTTTTTCGTCGACCCTCTTCTATTTACTTTATCGTGAGCTTCATAGGTTCCCGGAGCGGTTCCGGAATGATGTCCCCGACGCGAGCTCGATTTAGATAGTTCGTAATTAGAATTTGGTACTGTGGGAGACCTTGCCCGTTTCTCTTGAGGCGTGTCGTATAGTTCGGGCACGGTTGCGATATCTAAGTCATGAGTATCCGCTTCGTTTTTTCGCGGATGGCGCTTACTATTCCTCAAATTCTGTCGATCGCGCAATTGTTTTACATTAGGTGGCCTCCCTCTTCGATCCTCCTCATCATCATAATCATTATCATAATAATTATCAGTATCCTGATTCACACGGACCTCCTCAATATCTACAACGACACTCGAGACCGGCATAAATTTACTTCCAGATAACCCCGACCCAAGGTCGGAAACCGATCGAGGAGCTTGGTTCCAAGCCGACTCATCGATTGCTTTCTCAGTGTTTGAAGAAGATTCATCGCGCTGGAAGAAGCCTTTAAGCAAGCCTTTACGTTTTTTTGGAGTGTCGGTGGTTGAAAAGTTTAACAACGTTCCGGATTGGAAGGGAGTGTTGGGTTTATCAACGCTTTGATCAGGGAAGGATGGCGCCTGTGAAGTGTCAATATATTTTGAATCTGGGTGTGAACGCCGGTATAATAAATATATCGCGACCAATATTATCAATCCTAATACCACTCCAGCAATGATTACTGCAGTCTTTGACCAAGTCCCAAATGGACCCAAACTAATGTCATTTGAATGTGCGCCCACTGTCTGATCATCACAAAATTGTTCCTTTATACATGTATCTCCGTAGATTGTTACTGCTGCTGTTGGTTGCGTTGTTATGGCTGTTGCCATCGTTACTTGAAACGAGGCAGAAAATGTACTATCGAACTGCGATTGGCACGTAAAGCTATATGATGTGTTCCGATCGCATTTGAACGATGGAGAGGAGGAGTATGGATCGCCTTGTATGAGATATTCTGGTGGAAATGAGATGAATGCCGTATATTGTTGGTTATTGCGCTTAAAGTCTTTGTGTGAGGCCGTAATATTTAATTCATATTGGAATACTCCTGGACTTGATGCCTTTGACAATGAAGTGATAGAGAAGCAACAAGATTCTGAAGAGAAAAAGGATGAGGAAAGTAACTTGATTAGCATGACAAGTTCCAAGGCTAAGATTGAGCCGCTCGCTCACGTGCATAGCATATAGACTATTCTACTAGCCACACAATTTCGTTCTATGGAATGTTTTAGGAAACTTACGAGCGGTAACTGTATTTGTTCCTGCGAATATAATAAATGTAAGTATTAACAGGCTCCAGCGTGCCGCCGAGCATGCTCGAGAGACGCGAATGCGGGCCTGCGTAAAAGCCATTTAGTGGTTTCTTATTATAATTACAAGTGCTAGGTGTTTGCAAAACTAAGTCGTGATGAGTAGTATGGCAAACAGTGTATAAGTTTGCAATGGTGATAATCCTGATAGTTTGCTGTAGTTACTGGGTCGTTAATGAAGCGTGTCGTCTTCGTGTATATTGCCTAACCATGTATGCCTTTCGTAATATTGACGTGAGTTTGTATCTCTAAAGTAATTTGTAGTCACAATAATGAAAATAATAACAGCAATGATAACAATAATATTAATACATGGTTGTAATTCCTACACAACAGTTAGAGAGGTGGGAGGGGAAGGGAGATAGATTGAAATGATTTCTTTATACCTGGCGGGAATGTCAAGTAATGCCAGTTACTATAACTGGTCACCAATACCAATTAGCCGCTTCGGAGGCTGATAGGCAGAGGATGGGATGGGATGGGATGGGAGGTAGATGAAGCGTCAAATAATTATATTATTATTATTTACAATTACACCGAAGCCAAAAATCTTCTCTAAGGGGAAAGAATCTTGTGTATCAGCTGTTTGGATGTTTATAGTAACCTCGTGGTAAGTACAGTGAATGTCGTACAGTTCACGGGTGAAAGTTGCAGCCTGTAGTAAAGGAGAAAGAGGCATTGGCGTTTCGCCTGCAATTTGCTGTGTAATGTATTGGTGTATGCAGGGCCAAGAAAACCAAAATGAGAGTTTTGCGAACGCTGCGAGTCTGATATGTAATGTGATTTTATTATTACAATGGTGTTTCCAAGATAAAGTCACATGAATTGAGCAACGTACGGTGCATAACAATAACCTTAACGCAGGTGGTCGATCGGGATATGTTTGACAATTCCGTACAAACAATAGCGCCACATCGATATCTCGCTATACCCTTTTTTTCAGTCAATTTGCCAATTCAATTCGATAGTTGACCAACGTATGCATTTTTTCTTTCCCATAGTAACCATGTATCTACAAAGCAGAAAGGACACATTATTGTTAATTATTTGTTTTCCGTAGAATGCAGAAGTGATTATTGGTAAATGCAATATTATTGTATATGGGATCAAATAAAGGGTCATAGAATAGGGTTTTTGTGCGCATAGAAAGTACACATATATGTCATATAATTCACAAGGCTACACTACAATCGAATTTCCCCCAACGAGATGAATGTGAGGTCAGTTCACACGACTAATCTTTGTATATCCATAATAATTATTATAGTACGCCGATGTATCGATGCGGAAGTCAAAGAAATGCAGCGTTTAATTGAAAATCTACCGCTACGGGAAAGAGCGAAGTGAATGCGAACGCCTGATCGTGTCGTGAGCCAATAATATTTCTAGCATCCAAATATAGATAGGCCAATGAGAGTATTCTTGAAGAAAGCGGGTAAGAGAATATACACTGCATCCAAGTGAACATTTGCGAGTGTGGCTGAAAGACCAACAAGTAATTATCGCGAGGAACTGTAACAGACGACATTTGGAGAAGGCTTAGAATTAGGTTTTATTGGCACAGCAGTGAGTCAACATAAATTCATGTTTTGTCATAACGTATTTGATGTTTAAATCCACTAAAAAGAGAGCAAAGAGAAAAAAATCAACTCCTCATGTTTTAAAATCAATGATACCAAAGCTCTAGATAGAGACCCAATTACTTGTGAAATTCACCAAGTCTATTGTCAGCTTGTCTGAGAATGAGAGGTTATCCTCAAGTGGTCGAAAGCATTACGTTGAAGGCGCCGGAAAACGGTCTTTACCCATACTCATACGCACCTCGTTTTGAATTTCAAAGTAATTATAATGTTATAATTATTGTGCGTTGCTTAACCTTTCTGCTATTAAAACTTAACCTGAAAAATTCATTGTCCAATAAAATTGCTTGTCTTAAATGAATGCCTCACTTGTATCCCAAAGTCGGGATAACCGAGGTATTATCATGCCAACGACCAGTTGTGAAATAAGTGTATCTAGTGCTACTATCCATTTTAAAATGACCTCATTCACTGAGATACATAAACTGTCAATTGCAAGCTAGTTTGTTCACAATAATCCATAAATAATATAACAGACAATACAAAGGTAGAATAGACATAATCACATCACATTAATATCGGAAACAAGAGCACCCGCCAGAGTTGCTTTTCTAAATTTGACAACTGCTCTTGGTTAGGTCATGGCATCTTTATAATTGGGCATTTATCACCCACTATATTCTCATTGTTATCACGATTGTTTTTATTTATACCCCAAATAATAACACAAAAGTGCATTTTTGGAAAAAACTGAATGGTGTTAGTATTATGCATATCACAGGTAATAGTAACTCGATTATCGCCTTCGATGATGTCGGAGAAAGAATTCGTGTCCGAACTTTATTATACAAACCAAGAAGATGACTCAACTATTTCATACAGTGTAAATTGGTTGTATGCGCCAAGACAACCCGACACAGAGTAAACACGAATCGAGTATAAAGTTTCGAGTACTACAATTCTCAAGTTGGTATGTTGTGAATGACCAAAATAATAGAATTCCTTAATGACATGAACATTGAATGAAAGCATCTGTGGATTTCTTCTGAGTAGAAAAATTACGTCTAATCGATTAAGGTTAATTTATTGTAGTGCCCAAAGCAAATTTCAGTAATTATCACCGCTGTCATTAATCTTTTGTTATATCCCTAGTTTATTTAATACGTCGATGATTTGTTCTCATTAAAAAAAAAAGAATTGTTATCCAGAGTCAAATGGCGTTTAGTTCTTTGGTACCACAAGAACATTATTGTTCTTAACACCACAGCAACGTTATACATTATGCCATTACAGAGCATAAGTAACTCATTGAACCCCATGTGTTTCAGGAATACGATTGATTGGCTAGAATGTGTACGATATACAAGGGTATTAATCCACTTTGTAAGTCACAAACAACGGTTGAAGAGTCTTTCAGACTAGGGCTGAACATAAAGCTATACTTGAAAGGGATTATAACAATTAGAAAAACGCTATAACGAGTCCCAAAAACTTGTATCTGAAAATAGTTGATTGTTCATACAAAAGCTTAGTTACGCGTCAATTCCGCTTGACTCAAACGAATATAATAGAGTAATCCTAATTTCTGAACATGGCAACCATCAATTAGTACTAATAATCCGACAAACGAATAAAAGGTACACAGGACCCAAAGCTTTAGCTGCACCAAAAAATACATTTTAATATTATACAAACCCTGATATTACGAATCTCTCGGACATAACAAAGAGAAATCTCCTATGTAGCAGATCAACCAACTCTGATTGTGGGTTGTAATTTCTCTTCCCAATTGACAACTTTCGACCGCAAACGTGACAATGCTTTATGCACGATGAATCTCATGATAGTTTGACATATCAAACGATGCTTTGAATCGTACCTGTAACTGTCACAAATATCAAAGTTGATTTAAGTAGTAATTTAAGTTTATAACGAATTTAGTAATAACTGGAAATTTTTTGGTCTTCAAAAAAGAAAACACATCTTGTAAGTTTATACATATAAAATGCTACCTTTTGTTATTTCATGAAGACATTATATATCGCCTAATTTATAGTACAAGAGTCTGACAATGCAGAGCAAGTCCAATCTGAGGGTTCACGGTTGACGAGTACTATTCAAACGTTTCACCATTTTAACATGTCGTCCACCTCGGCTTCACCAAACAAACTACTCTTCGTAGCCTTAAGCTCATTAATGTCCTCATCCACATCATCTTTATTATTCAGTACAAATCTAGGAAGATGAGTTCTTGTGAACCTCAAAATATGTCGATTGATTTGATCAAACTCGAGGAGAAATCCGTCATGGCCATCAGGTGATTGAATTGTCACCATCTCGGCATTGGGAATGCTTTTCGCTAATTCATATTGTTCAGATATAGTATACAAACCGTCCGATTCTATACCTGGATGTTGAACGTGCACGAAGAATCAAATGGGTTATAGATGAGGATAAACAGATAGAGAACCGCAAGTCAGACATAACACAACTTACCAATAACCATAGTCGGTTGTTGTATACTGCTCAAAACTTCTTCTATTTCTCCTCTTTCATTGGCAATATCATGTGTATCCATTTTACGAGAAATACTAATATAACAGTTGGCATCGAAGCGCTTCACAAACTTATCCCCCTGATATCTAAGATAAGACTGTGCGGAAAATACATGTGGTACTGCGGCAACAGAATGCTCATTATTTCGATGTTTGCTGTCGGCTATTCCCCGGCTTTCGTTACTATTGCTACTGTTATCATGTTTCTTGTTAAAATAGACACCCTTCAGAATGTTCTCGCTTTTGTTTCCATCATTGTGTACCAGCAAAGCATGCTCAGCCGGAGTAGAAGGTGCTACTCTAGGGAGATACTCGTGGGGATGTTTTTTTGGATCATTATACTTGCGACCGAATCTCGACTCGAACGAATCTCTTGATCGATATGTAAGAAGAGCAGACATACGCGCAGCAGACAGACCCGTAGCCGGAGGATCTCCCGGGTTATAGTATCCATCGAGATATTTAGGATCGCTGTATATCGCCTGTCGCTGAGCCTCACCCCAGCTTATACACCATGCCGAATGTCGGGCAGATGTCGCAATAGGAACTATGTTGCAAACATAATCCGGACCAAAGAAAGCCCATTCGAGAACCTGCATCCCGCCCATAGATCCACCGAGACAGATTGCAACTTGTTTTACTCCCAGAAGATCGAGAACTTTTTTGTGGAGTCTGCAAATCATAATATAGATCAAAGTGAGTAGAAATGAATACACAATCTCTCTTGCATATTTTTCCTTTTCAACTGAAATATTTAAGCGGGCATAATAGTAGCAAACCTACTAAGAAACACAATTTAAACCCAACATGTTTCTACCTAACATCATCGCGAATGGTAGTCTGCGGGAATTCTGGTCCATACGGTCTCCCAGTCTCGGGATTTATGGTTACAGGTGAAGCTGTCCCGT